TTTGAACTTCAGTTTTGGAAACTCTTTTTTCACTTATTTCACTTTGTCCTTATGCAAGTGGAATATCTTATATTCAGTCTCCCCAGAAACACTTGTACTTAATCGTTGTTTTGAATGGAAATTAAATACATGAAGGACGATCTCTGACTTTCGCACAGCTCTGTACCTGCTACGGAAATCAAGGGTAGAAATGTCATGTGGGAGTCAGTGATCAGATGCAGCTGAAAGACCACCAGGGTAGATGATATATCTTCTCCTTTTCCCTCCACTACAGCACTACGCTGAGTGTTGAAATCAGACCTTCTGCCAAGCATGTGGTGTCAGTAACATTTCAACAGATTCCTCTTTGGTCATCGAAAGGATTCAGGTCACATATAGAAGTGCTTTTAATAACTGGAAAGATGCGAATGTTTACAAGCTACAACTGCAAAGTCTATGAATTTTCATTCATATAATCAGGTTCAGAATTATTGTCACCTCATAAAGCTCACCAGAAGAGATAATAAGTATGAAAGTATCTATGTAAGTATGTAAGTACAGAAGTAGATAAGTATATAAGTACATACACAAGTACATAAGTACATAAGTAGGTAATTAAGTACGTAAATACATAAGTCAGTATGTAAGTAAGTACATACATAAGTAACTAAGTATGTAAGTATGTATGTAGGTATGTAAGTACATAAGTACATAAGTAAGTAATTAAGTATGCAAATGCATAAGTCAGTATGTAAGTAAGTACATACATAAGTAAGTAATTAAGTATGTAAGTATGTATGTAGGTACCATGGCATAAGTACATAAGTAAGTAATTAAGTACGTAAATACATAAGTCAGTATGTAAGTACATACATAAGTAACTAAGTATGTAAGTATGTATGTAGGTATGTAAGTACATAAGTACATAAGTAAGTAATTAAGTATGCAAATGCATAAGTCAGTAATTAAGTAATTAAGTAAGTACATAAGTATGTAAGTAGCTAAGTAAATATTTAAGTACATAAGTAAGTACATATGCAAGTAAGCAATCAAATAAAAACATAAAAAGCACATATAAAGTTTAATGTACAAATGAGGGTAAAATACAAACTTTTATTCCACGCATAACTAATGCTTTTTTCCCGAAACCGTAGGCGTCTAATTACTGGCAATGCTAAGAACCATTTTTATATAATTCAAACAAAATTAAGTGTATTCAGTAAAGCTAACAGAGCTGACTTAAACCTACTACTAATCTTCTCTATAAACAGCAGGAAATGTGAGGAATCCATAAAATAAACCAAAGACAAATTGGGCTACAGCGGTCTTTGGTCAAACGCCACATCTATGCTGATGCTATTTTGAAGAGTTGCCAGGATAAAGCTCGTACTAAGAGCAACAAACAAATTAAAGCTTGTGGAGTGCGCCAGAGGTCATTAGGACCTCGGCGGGAGGGTGCTATGCTATGAGAGAGCAAATTTTAATACCCTGACCACTCAAACCAACAGGACAACACAAGAGCCTAAATACATGCTAAATTATTGTTTGTAAATGGCCTTTAAATGAAATAAATATTTGCATGTTAGAACTGATGTTTATTTTGCACAGCTGCCATTAAGCCATCATGTATCTGCAGAGACAGTAAACTGAAAAAAATGAGAGGTCAGCTAAACTTAAAATGATGAAATGATTACATGGCTTTTCTTGAGTTGACTCAACTTGAGGACACCAGAGTTCACCCAACTCAAACTTCTTAGTTGAGTCCAACAATCTCACAGCTACTGTTTCTGGGTCTGCATCTCAGTTAGATAAACAAAACTGAATATGCACCCCACCGCCCTTAGTTTGACTCAACTAAGAAGTCTGAGTTTTGTGAACTCTGGTGTCCTCAAGATGAGTCAACTCAAGAAAAGCCATGAAATCAGTTATTATATCACTTTGAGTTGAGCTGACCTCTCATTTTTTACAGTGTTTGCATAATCTTTTGCTTTTTAAGAGCTGCGAGTTGAATCACATGGACAACTAAAACTAATAGAAGCAAATCATTACAGTCTCTAGGCTATGTTCACATTACCAGGTTGAAGTGGCTCAAATCCGATTTTTTGCCCTACTGTGACTCAGATCTGATGTTTTCAGGGCTGTGTGGACACGCAAATCTGATCTTTTCAAATCTGACCTGAGTCACTTTCATATGTGGTCCTAGATCAGATACGTATCCGATTCGTGGCCATGCGACCTTAATAAAACGCTCAGATCGGAATTCATGTGCTTTTTTCCACTGTGCGTGCGCCATCATTCAGTGTTACCATGGCAGCAGCGTCGAACAGAAGTTAAAGCCTGTAAACAGTGGAAAAGCAACACATCTAACCTTTTTCTCCTTCGTCTCGTTCTAATAATGAAGCTGAGAGCTGATCAGAGTTAATTATCTTCTCAGCGAAGCTCGTTCTGCTCGTTAGTCTGTCCTGATGATGCACGTGATTCATTCACGTGACGTTACTGATGTGCTCATGAGGGTCATTTCAGGACGCCAGTTCGTTCACATTAATGACAGGTTTGAATCACTTACCTAAACGAGTGTGAACCATCATGTCAGAGAGATCGGATTTGAGCAAAAAAATCGTATTTGAGCAATGAGACTTGTAATGTGAACATATTTAACGTTGTAATACGAACATATTTATCACCTTCCTGTTCCTGGACAGTGAAGATACAAGTAGAAAAAACGCTGGTTCTTTAGGTTCTTTTGGTCTTGTATACAAAGAAAAGAGTGATATACATGAGTAGCCATGTGTTGTTGTTGTTGATGTTTGGGAGCTCTTTAGACACACAGAGCCCCAGTAAAATCAACTGCATTATAAAACGTCAGGTATCAGGAGAAGCAGTTGCCTGTGCTTTGGTCACAGATGGGTCTTGTAGTCGCTCTAAATCCACCACAAATCAACAAAAACAATTTGACTGAAAATAAACATTGCCCAGTGTGTTTGGTCTTAAACCTGATTAAATGAGTTGAAATAGGCCGTCCATAAACACAGATCTAAGGACATATTTGGAAAAATATGGAAATATGCTAAAACTAAATCAGGGTCACCAATTACAATTTTGAGGCCATTGTTTTTGAGAAACGGTGACGCTTTACAATAAGACTATCCTTATAAACAAAGGGTTTATAAGTTTGTCTATTAATTAGTTTATCATGAACACTTTAAAAACCAATAACATGCTATTTTAAGACATAAATAAACAGTGACGTGTTGCTTGCCAAATAGTGAGTCCACACTGTTAAAGCTCAGGTCTTGCTGATTACTTTTATTACTTTGTCTACTCCATCACTCAGCATTAAACCTGTCAGCTTAATCAGATTTTCATATTCATCAGGCCGAACAGTTCACTGTTGCCCTTTACATATATGTGTTATAACTATTTTTAATGATTTTTAAGGTGTTTATGACCTAATTAATAACCATTAATAAACTAAATTCAAACCATTCATAAACCTGTGTTACCTTAAGGTATTGTTACTGTAAAGTGGATCCGAGAAACATTTTTTGTGGTTGGCCAATGGGTTCAGTTCCGAAGGGTCCAGATTCATAGTTTTTGGTAGCTGCTTAACAATGGTACCTACAGGACCTAATGGTAATCTTCCAGATGAGGATAAAGTCACCAGACAAGATTACATCACTAATAAGTGCACAAGAATGTAAACTAGAATGTTAGAAATATTAGAAATATGATTTTGGAAACAGCGGCCACGTTACAGTCGGATCTGCTTAGTTAGGACTGACTTTAGGACAGAAGCTGTTACAGAACAACAGTTCTTAAGTTCATAATCTCATCATTAACTCCAGATAAGAAAACAGTATTACAGAAACATCCTAACTAGACTAAACCTCCTAAATACTGTCCTAACTTTAAGATAAACCCCAGAGGGTCTTAACTTCTGTTTAACCATCTGTTTCTATTGTTTTATGCACTGATAGGCAGCTCAGTTCACTATAACTGACATAATGATGTCACATTTATCTACACCGAAAACGGTGCTTTAACTTGTGAGTTTTAAAACTTTGAACCATAAACTTTGACTTGTGCATTTTAAAAACCCCAGACGCTGCAGACTCGATCTCCACTGTCCCTCTGATTACCTTCATATGTTAATGTTGATGATAAAATATTACAGTGATGGTGCTGAATAATGAGGAGACAGAGCTGAACGTGTGTCTGTTTATTAGGAAGAATAACGTTAGCGCGCTCGGCTCGGAAACTGAAACTGGGGAGCGGCAACGCTCTAAATAAACAGCAGGGGGCGCTCTCACAGTATTCTTAACTTCAGCTTTTTTGTACATCAGTAACTGTAGCTAGCTGCCTGGCTAACTAGCTTGATTATTTTGATGTGTTTACATTTCAGCTGTGCGCGTATGGTCGGTTGCTAGGTAACAGACATGACAGTTGATTGTTGACTTCGCTTGAGTATGTTAAGATTTCCTAACTGGAGATAAGATGCTGTAAGATAAGATAAGATTCTTAAATTAAGATAAGATTTGCTTCTGTAATATGAATTAGTGAAAAATCTTATCTTGACCTGTCAGATCTTAAGATAAAAAGATAGGAAGTTTCTGTAACACGGCCCCAGGTTGATAAGGTGATATACACTAGTTAGGAAGCTAACACTAATGCTTTTAGCATGCAAATTCAGTAATAAAGTTGTTATTAACAAATGAAAGCTGGAAATAGAATAGCTGTATTAGAATAAAGTCACACACTGTTCCAGTAGGCTTGAGTGTAGTCCTGCATTACCTTACTAATACTCTAATTACCTACCTAATACTGCATACTAATCTTCCTGAGCCTTACAGGGTTAAGGATTTTGGTCAGAGTAAAAGTTCAGCATTGGTCACTTATTAGAGCCAGTAATGGACTCCGGCTTCAATTCTATAAAGCTGTTATCACCAACGATGGTGGTCCAACCACCATCTAACACATGTACACTAGCACTGACTGTACTAGAACATTTCTTGGTGACTTACCATCATCTAGGTACATCTGATCCAGTTCCTGCGGCTCCTGCTTGATGCTGACGGCCAGCATTGGAGGAGCTCCCTCGTCCTGCAAAAGTGGAGAAGATTCACTCCTCGCTGGTGCTTTTGGCAGCGCCGGGGTCTCGCCGGACACTGGCGAGTGGGCCAAACCTTGGCTAGAGGTGAAGACAAGCTCAGGTGCAGAGCTTGGGGTGGAAGGATGAGAGCCTGGAGAAGAGGATGCGCTGCCTGATGGGTAGAGGATGGCCTGCTGATAGCGGCCCGGCGTGGGCTGGATGGCGGAGACGTGAGGGATGGCGGGTGGCCCAGGGTTGGCGCCTGCGGAGAGGCACTGGGGGACGAAGTGTGTTGGGGAGAGATCCTGCAGCTTGGGGCTGGTGCTGGGGGAGGAAGAAGAGCCGGACAGGGATGAAGGCTTGGCCGCAAGTCTCTGAGGGCCGCCCGCGTAGGCGGCCGTAACACAGACCCTGTGGTCCGAAGGCAGGGCTTGCTGAGCGTAGTACTGCTTGGAGGGCAAGGTGAGGCTGGAGGGATGCTGCTGAGCGCACACGTGAGGGAGGTCATAGTCATCATGGGGCTCCGTCTTTATGGTGGGAACTGAGAGAGACCACAAGAAAAAAAGAACGAATAAACACGCACAGTAGGCTCATGTGACTTCATGTGAGCTGGTGCGATGGAGTGGGTTTGTGGCTAGGAAACCCAGAGCCAAACAAACATTCTCATCAATGAGACCGTGTGTCTGAAGCAACGTGCTCCCGCCCAACTGAAAATATTTAAAGAAAGAAGGGAAAAAAAAGGGATGAATCATCACCACAAGAGACTTCCAGCTGCTTCTAAAATAAAAGGCTATTTTCTTTGGAGCTTTCCCCAGAGCTAATATGCCATGAGCATGCATTAAGAGATATTTTGCTGCTGGAGGAAGCTCCAGCTCCGACAGAGTTATGCAGATTTTAATTAATTACGTATAAAAAAATCTAGATAATTACACAGACTCATTCGAAGAATCAAACTGTTTAATTTGTTGATACAGCGCCTCTGGTTTGAGAAAATTAAAGGGCCTTTTGCGTTTGGGATCTTTTGGATTATGCGGTTTAATTTAAGGAAAGGTCAAGCAGGGACGAACAGTACTTGCTCTTTTGGGAATGGACTGCTATGCTAAAGTTTATACTTTCTCGCTGTCCATCCTTCAGATTTCTGCTGTGCTCTCACAACACAGCCTTAACGCTCTATAAAGAAACTGAATGGCCAATCACATTATTAGCAAGCCCTTAGTAATGTCCTTTATGGCCAGGTTTCATCAGTGGGTCCAGACTTTTATTACGCCTAATTTAACAATATCTGGGACAATTTGTATTGTTTACCATGTAATTGCTAAACAATAATCCCTAGGATGCAATAATCCTAGGATTTTAAGGAGTTAAAGATGCTTCTGTCTCTGATATACTGTGAAGCTGGCCCTTACATTGTGGGAGTTTGCGAGCCTGTATCCATATAAGGACTATTTAACTTATAATATTTCTTCAAGTCTAAAAAAAGTTGGGAAAGTATGTGAAATGTAAATAAAAACAGAAAGCAGAGATTTTTAAATCCAATTTGATGTGTAATTAAGCAAAAACAAGGTATTAAATGTTTTACCTTTTCACCTCCATACAGTTCTTTGTGAATATATGTCTGAAGTTGATGCCTATAACACACTGTCATGGCAGGGGCACCATAAGACCAAGATCAATGTGAAATGTTCAAACAGGTGATGTAATTATGCTTCGGTGTTAAATGAATGGAGCATCCAAGAAAAATCCATATTTATGAGTTTCAATTGAGGCTCAACACTCAATTGAAAAGTAGAAGCCAATTTGTCAACAATGTTCAGAAACACACCAGACTTCTGTGACTCAAGCTTATCTGAAATGGACTGATGCACAGTGGAAACACGTATTGTGGTCCATCTTTCAGACTGTTTATGGAAGCCATGGATATTGTGTTTTTAGTGCCAAAGAAAAGGATCAGAATGTTACCAGTGTAAAGTTAAAAATCAGTATCTGTCATGGTATGGGTGGGGCGGTGGGGGGAGGGGGTATTAGTACATAACTTGCACACCTTTGAAAACACTATTAACGCTGAAAGACGTATTGTTGTTGTCATAGCAAAACCTCATATCTCCAAAATGGTAACTTTATAGGAAAATAAAAATATATTCTTGACTTTTAATGGAAATTTAAGCCCTTAAATGGCCCAAAGTTTATTTCACACTTCTATAATCTAAGAAAAGCTCAGCCAGTTTGCACTGAATCCCTGTGCACTCTTAAAAAGATGGTCCTTCAAGGAAATCAATTCAAAGAAAATGGTTCTATAAAGAACCATGAGCACTCAAAGAACCCTTTGCATGACTAAAGGGCTCTTTGCATCATGAAATCATTCTTCAGATTGATGGAGAATGCGCTGTGGATGGTTCTATATGGAACCTTTTTGAAAAAGATTCTATATAGCACCCAAAATGGTTCTTCTATTGTTACAAGCTTGACATTATAACAGTATAATTTTTGGGTGCTATATAGAACCGTTTTTACAAATGTTCTGTATAGAACCATCCATAGCACATTCTTAAGAACCTTTTCATGATGCAAATAACCCTTTAATAGTTTTAGTTCTTTGAGCATTTATGGTTCTTTATAAGACCATTTTCTTTACTAAAGAACTCTTAAAGAACCATATTTTTAAGAGTGAAATTACTGAATTATAAGCCTTAGTATGTAATAAGCCTGAGATTTTAAGGGGTTAATGTAACCAGATTTTTGTTCCAAGTGATTTTGGACCATTTCTGTTGCTCCGTTCATGAAGGGCAAATGAAGTATTTAAATTATACTTTATTTCGGACATCATGAAGTTCAAAATACAACAAGGGAGGCTCCACATGGTTACACAGCTGAAGACTTGTGTAACAGAAAAATGGTAAAAAAATTCTGCTTGGTGTTTTCAGTCCGCAGTGATTAATGAGAGCTGTTGAAAGAAAAGGTGATGTAATATAGTGGTAGACATGTCCCTGCCTTTTTTTGCTATGTGTTGCAGGCCTCATATAAACAAAAAACAAAAAAACAAAACAAAAAATCAATGAAGTTCATATGGTAAATTATACAACAGTTAGTCCCGGCCACGCAAGCTGATTGGTTGAGAGGTGTTCTAACTGTGCTGTTATTTCGCCATAACATCACATTTTTTTCACGAACACTGTATCACTCCGCTGAGACGCCGTTGCTAAGCAACGACTTTGACAGCTGTAGGAGACTCTGAAGCCATTTGAACATTTTTACTTCTTGCTTTGCCACAAACAGAAAATGGACACTTTTAAGATCGCATTTGACCGACAGCCGATTTGGTCAGACTCTGAAGATGAGACGACTCTAAATTCAGTCGTCACCACTGAGCAGCTTTTCAGTCAGCAGCTGTGACAGAAGAACAGCTGAACAACCTGGAATCAGCCAGAAAAGAAAAGAATACCATTCGCCAGACAAAATGGGCTGTAAGATGCTTTACAGACTGGCTGGAACAAAACAACATTAATACTGATCTGGCAAAAATTTACAAAACTGAGCTAAACTTGATATTGCAGCAGTTTTATGGCTCAGTCTGATTTGGTCAGACTCTGAAGATCAGACTACACATTTGGCGAATGGTATTCGGTTCATTTCTGGCTAATTCCAGGTTGTTTAGCTGTTCTTCTGTCACAGCTGCCGACTGAAAAGCTGCTCAGTGGTGATGACAGTTTGGGAATTTAGTGTAAGGAGCTGGAGAATGAACTGCCGGCTGTGCAGCGAGTGGGAGGAGCTCGTTACTCTGATGTAGCAACAAGCTGCTTGTTAAAGAACTATAATTTGGTGAAGGAACGGCGAACATTAAAACATATTAAACGCCGCGTTCACGGCCCAGTTTATTAATTTATTACTTTATTTATTTAACTGTTGTATAAAGCAGTATAACACTCGAGGTTGTGTGTTATTGTGACCAAATCACAGCCGTGATGTTATTTTGTGATAACACACTCCCTCTCATGTTCTACTGCTTAAACATCAAATATGCAAATTTTTTACTGTTGTCAATTGAATACAAGCCAAGCACAAAACACAATTCATTAATCAGTAAGTACTATTTTTATTATCATTTCACATACTCTCCAACTATTTTGAACTTTGGTGGACTTTTCTATGGTAATACACCCTGTCTAGCGTCCCTCATCTACACAGTAACTAACTACATCTTATTTTAAAGTAACCGAAGGCACTGGAATTATCTGTGTGGAATGCTTTCCAGTGGTTTAGTGGAATGAGCAATCTCAAGCACATGCTATCAGTTGTCTGATCTCATCTCTCCTTAAGTGACCGTATAAGTAACGCTACCCTGACGTCACCACTCACCCTTCTAGAAACCACAATACTGCAACATAAGCTCTTTCACTTGAGATTGAGACATCAGTTAAAGCCACACGCTCCACCCTCCGCCTCAGATGGCTTTTAGTTTTGCTTGGAATCCTGTCGACACCATGCAGAAGAAGAGGAACTCACCGACCGCTGGTTTAAAATAGAACCCAGACACCTATTTTAGGTCCAACAGGAGGAAATGAGGCATCAATCACATGACAGGCTGATGCAGTGTCTGTGGGACGAGCACATGTCTATGCTTATAACCTCACAGTTGCACATATGTGCCGCTTGGTAACTTCAGAAGCTCAGGAACTTGTGTTTGTGTTTCGCAGAAGACTGAACATCTGTGACCTGACCACTTCACTGGGGCAGTCAGGCCAAAAACTAGAGTTTATTATGTTATTTGTTGTGTTACTGCAGTATTCCGTAGCGCAGCATTTACATCCCTCAGCCTCATCAGTTTGACAGGATTATCGTGTTTCTTACTACAATTCCCAGCATGCATTACGCACATAAATCATACAAACACTGGGAGTCCCTGTGGTGAGTCGGCACCAGTTTACAGGAGATGTAGCGATGGTTCAATTTTCATTTTGGTCAGAGTGTCTCTTTAAGGTAGACTGTCATCTCTTTAGCGATCTACTTACTACCTTGCAAGAATTTTGTCTGGATCTAATAGGGTTGCTATGGAGACGACTCATCTAGAAATCAGGTAATCACTCAATGAAGCAAATGGAAAGCTGCATTAACAACACAAAGAAACTCATATCATGCAATTCAGTCAGTCAATTAATTCACATATTTTAGAAGAGGGGTTCAAAGTGAAGAAATCAGAAATATGTTTAACCCCTTAAAAATTTAGGCTTTTTACATACTAAGGCTTACCTTTTCGAAAAGGGTTCTATATAGCACCAAAAAAGGGTTCTTCTATTGTTACAGGCTTGACACTGAGTGCGTTTACATGGCACTCAATAATCCGATAACTGCAGAAAATCAGATTTTGTCAGTAATCCGATCAATACGTTTACAAGCTTTTGAGTAATCAGATAATGGGGAAACTCCGGGTCTACATGACTCAGGCAATTATCGGATTCCTGCTTTGCAACCAGCCAATAAACTCACAGAAAAAGACGTGACATAAACATAACGTAAAACTCAAACTTCACACCGCTGCTTTCTGGTACTGTAACACTAGAAGAACCCATTCATGATGCAAAGAACGATTTAATCATTTTAGTTTTTTCAGTGTTCGAGGTTCTTTGTAGAACCATTTTCTTTAGTAAAGAACCCTTGAAGAACCATCTTTTTAAGAGAGTACAGGGACTTTAATGTAAACTGGCTGAGCAGTTCTTAGATTATAGAAGTGTGTGATAAAACTTTGGGCCCTCTGGCCATTAAAGGGGTTAAAAAAGTAGATTAAGTGACCCTTATTAGTCCCACAACGGGGATATTTCACCTTCGCTTTTGACCCATCCGTGCAGTGGCCGGAGTGGTGGGCAGCCCTATCTATGGTGCCTGGAGAGCAGTTGGGGGTTAGGTGCCTTGCTCAGTCACATACTGTCAGCTCAGGGGATTGAACTGGCAACCTTCCAGTCACAAGGCTGGTTCCTTAACCTCCAGCCCACAGCCGCCCCCTATGTACATCTACATGACATGAAGAGCGGAAATAGAGAGGCCGTCTGACCAGCTGATCCATCTTGTCTGACTTTAAAGGAGTACTCCAGTGCTTTTCGGTCTAATTTCTATCTGCTGCATCTCATATTTGTTTCAGCTTAATCCCTCATAACCACATATTTCAAACGTTTATTCACAGAATTATTATCTATTATAAGTGCATTTTGAATTAACAGGTTGTCTGTTCTTTTCTAAGTGCAGGGAAACAAGCTGAAACTAAAATTCCCCTTTAAGCATATTGCAGTAAGCAACAGAACATATTGCAAAATACATAAAAGGAAATTCCACCAATTTTTAAAAATCCCTGCCTAACTCCGTCATTGAGATGTAAACAAAGGTATTCAGAATAGTCTGATGTGAAAGGCTTCGTTTGAGAGAAATCAGTGATCAGATGTCTTTACAGTGGTGGTGATAGGAACCGGGGTCACCATGACTACAACACAGATATAGACATTTTATTTACTATCCAAAACCACCAGTGAACCTACATGTGTCTTCTGAGTTTATATGTACTGCTGATTTAATAGTGATAAATCTAAATAAATCTAAAAAAAAATATTATTTTAAATACATTTATTAGTTTTTTGGGGGGACTAGTTTCCTTGTAAACTCTGGCTTTTAGAAATTAGGTTTTAGGCCCAAATCAGTTATTAGGCAGCATATTTAAACCATCTCATGTTATAACGTTCTGTGAGGGAGCTTTTAGAGGTGGACGTCTGGTTCCTATCACCACCACTGTGAACAATTCTGACTCTGCGAGTTTCTCTAGAACAGCGCATTTCACACCAAACCACTCTGAATAAATTCGGATTGAAAGAATCTGAATTTGTTTACATCATAACCATTTAATTACACAGATATTTTGCACAATAGGTGGAATTCCCTTTTAAGCTCAGATGAGATGGATCAGCTGGCCAGATATGGTGGATCTTCCCCATTTCTCCAGGTGCTCAGTGTCTGATCTGGGAGGACAGTGTGGTTCTGTGAGAGGGGACAGAGAGTCCTTGCAGTGGCTAGCCTGAGAGAGACAGGGCAGGGCCGGGCACGGCTGGCTCTGAATCACTGCTTTGAACCACCCACTGGTTACGCACCCTAATCCTGGGGCAATTAGCAGTGGTTTGGACTTTTTAAAGGTTGGGTCATTCTTTACCTAAAATTTCATCTGACAACTGGCTGGCATGTGAATAATAGCTTTCACATAGTCAACTCCACCCGGCTGTTGCCCTTCCAGTGCTCCTATAACTTAACAGGTATGGAAAAGAACATGTTTATGGAGATGATTTTAGCAGCGGGAGTAATTCACTTCAGCTCTAATTCATCCCCTTCACTGAAACGCCGGATTAGAAAATGGACAATTCCAGTTTTCAAGTCTGACTCTCTGAGCCATGTTCGCTGTAAGTCGCTGTAAAATCCTTGATATACACAAATAAGTGTATTTGTTTGGTTTTTGTAAATTCTGAAGTGAATAAAAAACATTATCTATTATCTATCTCGATCTGCTTGGTGGAAGAATTGTTTATTGTGATTATCATTGATGTATTTCATCATATTGTAATCTGTTGGCATTTAATAAAAGCAATAGGCCACTCGAGGCTGTGAGTTACAGTTAAGGGAAAACTATTCCGTTAACTGTGTTAACATCACTGTAACCAACTCCTACTGCTATAAACAACAATAATAAAAAGTGCAGAGCTCTATAATAATTTGAGCACAGTAAAGACTCACCTGTGCTTGTTCTAGAGCCGAGTTTGTATTTTAATATCTTATTTATATTTTCGCAAAACCTGCACTAGCTCCTCTACTTTCACCACAGCGAGCCGCATCGCTTTCCTCGACAACTGTTGGACGCTTTAGTGGCATTACAGCCTAAAGCACAAGAGGGCTGAGGTGCAAAGAGGGAACGTGTGTGCAGGGCTGTAGATCAGAGCCCCAAAGTTGAGCTTAGTGGCTTAATTTCATTTTTAAACTTCATCTTATCAAAATCATTTAATGTTACAATGTGTTATCAACCATTATCTCCTGCTTAGTTCATGAAGTTCATCCAGAATGAAGGAGCAGAGAGAGGATGTGCCCCCGCAACGTAAAACACCTTACGCATCCCTGCTGGAACCTTTGGCACCAGAAATCTGGAACTGTGCTTTTTTCCGGTCAGTCCAGTAATGAGGGGTCCAGTTTCATGGTTTTTGGTCAACAACAATTTTGCAAATTCTCTACTTCTCCAGGCAGGAATGCAGGAAAAGGCGGGGCTGAGGGGGCTGCAGCCCCGCGGCTTTTAGGATAGGTTGAATTCAACGGCTACAAATTAAACTAACTAACTAAATTAATGAATTAATAATTAATAAAACAGATCTGAACATTCTTAGGACCTATGTGAGCTTGTTTTGGAGTATTATGTTTATTTTATGCTTTATTAATATATCTGCAGTTGACACTGCATGTTTATTAAAGCAAGCTGAATTGCTTCCCTCGCCAACCGTTCGGCACTTTGAGGGCACGTCCAGAGTAAATGTGTGCAGAATTGTTGGCTAGTTCTGAGCCCCGAATCACCTAATATTGTTTTCTGAAGGTACAAATTCAACTAATGTAAAAATGTCCTACGTTATGAATATATTCATTTTTTTCCAGCCGCTTTATCTCCAGCTCAGTGTGCACTCAAGTGTTGAATCTTAGTGTGTAGCTTGACCAAGAGTGTGACCCAATTGGTTTCCACCCCTCACATCAACAATTAGCATAAATCTGCATCATACTGAGTGTGAGAGCAGAGTGAGCACTTATCCTATAAAAATATAATGAGAAAAGAAAAAGCACACCATTTTAAATGAGGCCACTCTGTACATCTTGTATGCTGCTATAATTTTTAGCCTCCATTTTCTCAAAACACCTTCCCACTTCCCTGTTTCCAGGGAAGAATGTAAATTAAAACGTTACGTTTATGTGTTTATTGCTTTCAACAGAGAAAAATAAAAGCTTTGTTTGATTCTACACGATTCTGTGTGTAAGAAAAATTCATTCATCATCAAATGAATATATAAACAATGGAATTAATGCTTTACCATTAGGGGGTAGGTAGGTGAATCGCTGGTATTGGCTCCTCTTCCTTTTGCCATTGCATATATAGAAGTTCACCTGAACTGGGCTGGATATTCTTTGGTTTCGGTAAGGTGGAATCTCCACAAGTAAGGTCGTCTGTTTGGGAAAAATGAAAAATAAAATAATTTTACATGCCAGATAAAAAAGAAACATTTTACATTTGAACTCCACTGACCTTAAAGGAGCACTATGACGAAAATGAATAATGTAGCCATCGCTACATCTGTTATAAACATGCCTACTCACATCCTACAATGGTGCCAGTCTTGAGAGTGACATTATTTGCTTTAAAGACTAGAAAACCACCTTCTGTGTCTTGAAGGTGGGAGGAACTGTTGAAAGACTACACGATGGTTGGCACAGTGTAGTGGGTAACACCTCAGCCCTTTGCACTGTAGACTGGGGTTCAATCCCCTGCCTGGGTAAGCACTCTACACTGTACCAATAAGAGTCCTTGGGCAAGACTCCTAACAATAGCTTTGCCTACCTTTGTAAAAATGATCAAATTGTAAGTCACTCTGGATAAGAGCATCTGTGAAATGCTGTAAATGTAAATATATGAAGATGGGTTATTTAAATGCTTTTACTGTTATCTGCTAGCTGGCTAATGCAGGAGGAAATCAGAAGCTGAAATATCATTGATGTATTTATTAGTCTCTATATCAATGCATCAGCTATATGGTGGGGGGTGGGGGGTGGGTTGGGGATTCCCAATGGTTGGACATCATAACATCTCAATACTCCATGTGCAATGCATGTAAAATATCCCAGTAGTGTAAAGATTTGTGTGCTCATTTATAATGTTTATATTATTAATTCATTACAATTCCCATGTGCAATATAATCAACACTTCATGTGCAATATTCCATGTGCAGTTTTGGTAAAATATACTTACAGTGTACATTTCTTTTTTTGCTTTTTTATTTATAATGTTTATATTGTTCATTTTTGTGAATAGAGTTCTGGTGAAGGATAGAGCTTTTTTATTTTTAGTATTACATATCGCTGTTGTCAGAAGAAAACCTCGTATCTTCAAAATGGTAACTTTACAGGATAAAGAAAAAACCTACTTCACTTTTAATGTAAGTCAATGGAACCAGACTTTTTTCCAAGTCATTGTGGGCCTCTTCTTTTGGTCCATTCATCATGAAATTTAAACATAATGTAAAGAGCCACAGGCACTATCAAAATATTTCAAAAACTGAAAAACGATAAAAATGGAGATACAAGATTTTCTTCCCACAACAGCGATATATTGACTATACAGTGACAAGTAACAAAGTGTAACCCTGTTATTTATTATTAGTAATATTAACAAGGCTAATTACTTTGTTAATCCTCTTCTTGTTACTCTTTTCTTGAATGCCTTGCTATCTCTTTGCTGCTGTAGCACTGTGACTTTCCCCACTGTGGGACTAACGAAGGATCATGTTATCTTATTTTATGTCAGGCATTAATTCATGTAATACTTTCTGTGAAGGAGCTTTCAGAGGCATTAAACTCTTCAGACATTTGGTTCCCATCACCTCCATTTAAACATGTTTGCGTGAATCGTGAATTCTGTCAAATCGATGACACTGAGGTATTTAATGCTGCTCTACAGAAAACTACATAAAACAACAAGTACCATATTGAATGCTAGTTTTAGGCCAGAATGGCCCTTTAAAACCTTGGCCACCAATGAACACTGACAATAATGTCTCTGCTATTCAGATTCACTCCGTCAGAGGGGTCCAGAACCAGCAGGTTCTGGTGATTGAGCAATAAGGGTAGATGAGTTTAGGCTGAGAAGGGCGAAGCAGCAGACGGTGTGATTTTTTCACCCTGAATGAAAGGACGTCCAGGGACTCCATCCAGACATTCTATTTCTCCCGCACTCCTCTCCTCTCTGTCTCCAGACGCTAGTGAACTTTTGACCGCGCACCGTCTCTGGCCACAACTACGGTATGAGTCCAGTGCGAAGAGAGTCTACAGACGAACCCTCCCTCTTCCCTCTCTCGCCTGAGATGAACCCCATGTGGCTGGGAGCAGACTGATGGAGGCGCTGAACAGTAGCCAGAGAGGAAGTCATCAGTCTTCTCGCAGTCTTCGGAGCCACATGCAGGTGAGCTCCCTGCCACTATTTATATTAGCGTGCCGGCGTGGCTGCCGAGCAAAGCCAGATAAAAAGCAAGCCGCTAGAAAGAATTTCATTTGTTAACTTAGTCCCCAGCTGCGTTCGCAGCCCTGAAGCTAACGATAGCTTTTACTATGGCTTTCCATATTTTAAAGACTGAAATTTCTATCCTGCATTTCTAAGTCTCCAAATAAGCAACCAAATTCTTCCTTGAGGACCAACAGTGGTGAAAGATTTCCTCTTCCATATCCACTAAAATCTGTGTGAATTTGAAAAACAATGGTTATTCTAATCCACTGAATAAACAGAATCAATGCAGTGGACTCTTTAGCTGAACTTTGGCCTAGTCTAGCTTTAGCTGAATGTTTTAACTTCAGTGAATTCATTTTAAGAGCTCATTCCTGTGAGTGCATATGTACTGTAAACTTGTGTCCAATAGACAAAATTATGATTCCTCTCAGTCACGGTCTCTAAAAAAGCTCTGACAAAACTCCTCTGAACTGACCTGCAGTGAGAACGGTGGTGGCAGTAAATTCATCCGCATTACGGGGCAAAGAAATGGTACAAAGATGTTACTAATAAGAATATAATGCCTGACTCACACTATCCTGGTCATCCTGGAGGCTGGCGGCATTTTTACTTCATTACTGAAGCTGAACTTTGTGGAAGACCAAGCTCACAGCTCAGTGACAAAACTATTAACAGGCAAACGGATGTTGGCTGTAAGGTAAGCAAAATTTACCAGGATTACTGTATTTGCTAAAATCATTTAAATATGACGTCTAATAATAAATACCATTCTTAGTTCATCTGCTCACACTTGGGATTAAAAACATAAGCTAGAAAAGACTGTAACATTTCATTAAAGTTCGCTGACCTCATATGAAACACAACGAGGCCTCATTAGCATCTAACGTTGCTCTGTCTAGCTAGTCTTAGCTTTAGCTGTAACTCATCCGAAGGGGCAGCTTCTGACACTACATCCTCCTCCTTATTAGACACTCAAGCCTTGAGAGACTAAACGATTTCCCTAGTTTGATTAAATGTAAATAAGATTTTCAGAATCTTCTTTTGTTCGCTTCATATTGGACATTATTCATATTGTCTGAGTTTGTAAACACTGCACTGTGACTGCACTGTGAACATCTTGTTTCAGATGTTCTCCTCTTTGTGTTGCTGAACTTTTTAGTCTGTTAGCAGAGACTAAAGTGTTAAGGATGCTAACAGGTAGTCTGAACTGAAAGTTTGACAGATGTAGCAACAGTAGAATCTTAGAATTGTAGTATTTCATGATACATTTGACATATTTGAAGATAGTGCTCCTTTCCTATATACAAATATTAACGTTCAGCTGGCTAACTCTGTAGAGAGTTTAACAAAGCTATGGCTAAAAGCAAACCTTGCTGTGCTCCCAGCCATTTACCCAATGCTAACTTTTTAAGGCCACTGTCCAAAAATTCAAAATCACTGTTTTTAATTAAGCACCACGCCAGTGCATCTGCAGTCAATGCGCAGCGGCACTCTGCAACTCCGAGTGCCATTCAATTTCTCCCAGCACATGACTCAGCATTTTGCCATCGCAGTGTTAAATTAAACCCAGAACCAGACAACAAAAAGCCTTAGCAGATCATGCACGGTTTGAGGTTTACACCATGAAAGGCAGCAATTCTAAAATCTTTAAGCTAAACAGACTCTGCTGAAAAAAATGGCATAAACCAGCATGCAGTCCGTGGTGGTCTAAGCTGGTTTGTGCTGGTTTATGCTGGTCTGGTGCTGGTTTAGCTGGTCACCCAGATTGGCCATGCTGGTGGACCAACATACCATTATCCAAACCACAACAAACACAACATATGAATGGTTTTGGTGGTGGTTTAGTGCTGGAGACAAACACTAATTATCTGACACCTCAGCTAACATTACTAGCCTAGTCTGTAGTTTCACTACTTGGCCTTTAGCTCAAAAACAGCAAGTCTGAGAAGAGTTAGTTACTTTATAATGATGTATCTTATTGTAGGGGCGTTCAAACTGTTTTCACAGGGTGGGATCATACCATGTCAAAACACCTGAAGGCCAAAATATTATTCACAAATGATTCAAAAAGTTTTCAAAATATGGAAAATATATCCTTGTAGAGCAATGAATAGAACTAAGTGTCTTGCTGGCGATCCATTCTGAGAATGTGGCAATGACCCCTTAGATGTGTATAAATCTGCCACCAGAGGAGTTATGATGCATGCATGTTCAGGCTGGTCAGCTTTCTGTGAGCTACCATGTTTCCTATCACTGCATTAAAGATGCATGAGGCTTCTTTTGCTGTTAGATTTCTTATGCAGCACAATTTGGATCTGTAAGCATTTACAACAAATTATTAAACTGTTTAAGAGAACAATAAAACATGACTAATGTATTAAGTATATTTCTATTCAAGTGTTTACATTTGCAAAAATATGATTTGTGGTACAAACTAAACAGAAATCTGTACATTTTTGAGAGGTCATGTTCTTCACATATCAAATAAACTCAGCAACAACATTAAGAAATCATTTATTAAATGAGCAAAACGATTCCAGTCATTCGGGAATCGTCAGTGCCAAATTATCCCACCCTAAGTAGTTGACAAGACAATAAGGTAATCTTTACTGGACCCACCCTCCTGTGTTAAGGGCAGTCGTGGGCTGGAGGTTAGGGACCCAGCCTTGTGACCGGAAGGTCGCCGGTTCCATCCTCTGAGCCGACAGTACGTGACTGAGGTGCCCTTGAGCAAGGCACCTGACCCCCAATTGCTCCCCAGGTGCTGCGGACAGGGCTGCCCACTGCTCTAGGCAAGTGTGCTCGCTGCCCCCTAGTGTGTGTGCATTCACTAGTGTGTATGTGGTGTTTCACTGCACGGATGGGTGAAGGTGAAATTTCCCCACTGTGGGACTAATAAGGGTCATTTATTTATTTATAAATGTAATAAACACTGTGCTCTTTATTTTT